TCTCCCACTGGTCACCTAGCTACCCTGCCCTCAAGCCAATGCTGCTGGATGCTGCTTATAAGTGAACTACACAACCCCCAACTACACAGTGTGTGCTTCCATGAACCAGTGTGGATTGTGTAGCCACACAGGAAGAGGTCCAGGCCCACACTGGCACTAGGTTCCCTGGCTTGTGAGTTCTGGGATCCAAGTCATCACAGTTGGAGTTTCAGTCCTTGATTTAAAGCTGTGTGTGGCCAAGGAGCCAGCTCAGTAGGGAAAGGGCCTGCCATGCAAGAGAAGTGATTTTGGAGCTCCAGCCCTCATGTAAACAAAAGCACATTGACACCTGCCTGTAATCCCAGTGCTAAGGAGACCAAGACACAAGCATTCCTGGGATTTATGTCCCAGCCAGGGTTGCTAATCAGCAAACTCCTGGCTAAGTAAAAGGCCCCGTCTTTAAATAGGTGGGGCCAAAAGATGGCTCAGCTGGCAAAGGCAGTTGACTGCAGACCACTACCTAAGGTCATCGCCTGATACTACGAGGTAGGAGAGAACTGCTAAGCTGGATACCGAAAGTTGTACTCTAACCCAATCACACACATTAAATAAATAAATAATCATGAAGAAAAATGTTTTTAATGATAGAATGTGATTGAGGAGCAGGCTGACATTCATCTGTGTCTTCCAAGCACCGATATACACACCCATGAAGATGGGCATGCACACCCAGGAAGCTGTGTGTTTTCTGTCTGCAGTTATATGAACTAACCCCTGTAGAATCCCATTTTATGCGATCTTTGAAAAAAATCATCTTGTTATTTTATGTGTACGAGCATTTGCTGCATGTATGACTTTCCATGGAGTTCAGAAGAAAGTGTCAGATCTCCCTTGATATAACTACAGACCGCTGTAAGCCACAAGTGGGTGCTGGGAATCAAACAGGCCTGCTCTGAGAGATTAGCCAGCATTCGTAACCATCCTTCAGTCCCCACAGTCCCTGTACCGAATGCATTAAAGATACTCCAGAGACACCAAAATGTTATCATGTTTCATTAAGGAATGAAAACATAGCATTGCATCTTGGATTAACCTGACCAAGAGTGAGCCCAAGTCTGAGTTTTCCACTTTTCTCCCTGTGTCTTCCATCTGTCTGCAGATCACGGTTATTGGCCCATCTGTGATTTGTCTATTGTGTGAGTCTCTGATATCCTGCTGTCCCTAGCTTGGTCTCTGACAGTAGCCTTTTCTCTGTACTTACTGAACAGCCTAGAAAACATGGCTCAAGGAAGGAATGAATTTTTCATCAGAGAGATCTTTTAACAGTTTTACAGAGAGAGAGGACTCAGAATGCACGCCTGTTATCAGTCTATAGCCATGTTGTTTGCAGCATTTGTGGGAGATATTTGTTTTGAGGTTGCTTTCAACTGTTGGCTGTCTCCAGAAGATGATTGCCCAAACCACATATGCATTAGTCTGGGTCAGGGGTATGAAAGAGTATATGACTTAAAACAGGCATTAGCTCAGGTTCTAAAAGCCAATTGCATAGGTAGTCCAAAGTACAGTGAGTTTGCTTATTACATGGTTCCCTCAAAGGAAGGTTAGCTTTAAGAGGCCGAGTGCACAGTAGGACAGCAGGTTAAGCACAGATTCTTAAACAATCTCACGGTGTATTATGGACTTTCCTATAAGCTCTGCCAAAAGTTCAATCTTTTGGAGGTCAAGATAATTTTCCTAAAACTGCACCATTATACCATATTTTACATGAATTCTGATAATGAATCTTTTAAAGGGGGCTTATTTATCACTTCTCTTTCTCAAGCACACTTGAAAGAGAACGGGGGGCTCACAAGCAAATGCCAGATTTCCATGGCAGAGTGGTTCTATGGGAAGCCTAAAACGCCCATGCAGAAAGACCCATGCAGGAGGGCAGCTGGATATGGGAGGGTGTGAGATGTCTCAGAAAGTGCTGTACTGGAAACCTAGACTAGGCACACAACTTTAGTATCCTCTTCACAAAGGTTCAAGAGTATGAAAATACTGGAAAATTATGTTTACATCAAGGTCTCCATGTTTTGTTTTGTTTTTTTTTTTTTCCTTTGAATTCCTGGGTGGTTTCTTTGGTGTTTTGGGGTATTGATACCATATGGGTAGCTCCTGTGGTCCTGCTGTTAACTGATTCATTCCGTCTTACTGCACAGCATTCTGATATGTCTCTCCTAGACAGACTCCCAAAGTGAACAGAAAACTGAGAATTCTGAGCAGATACTGCAAAGTGAACCCCTATACGAATGCCTTCTTCAGCATGAGGAGACAGTAGGCTGGTCTTGATTTAAGATTTCCAAAGGCAGTTCTTGCAGTGTGTTCAGGTTTCCTCAGAGGCCTCTTGGGGACAGCAGGCTTCTCTGCTCCCTGTCCTGGAAGAGGCAGATCTGTGCCTGTGATTCCTTCCTGGCAATACAGGTTTAGTTAGGGACTCTCAGCCTCTGAGCCACTGCCAATTTGGACCCTTGCTTGGTGCATGCATTTCCCTTCAGGTGACAAATAGGTCCCTGTTTCCTGTTCTTCACTGAGGCAACTGTATTTCCCGCCTTTCTCCATTCCCCACAGACAACTTGGTTGGTTTGTTGTTGTCCTTGTTTATTTTTGAGATTGTAGTTTAATGGCAGTGCTTCTCCCTTCTCTATCTTTTCCTTCAAACCTTCCCACATACCTCTCCCTGCTCTCGTTCAAATTAATGGCTTCTTTTTCATTAATTGTTATTGTATGCATGCATGTATACCTGTTCTATTTAATGTTCCATATAATGATACTTGTATATATGTTTTCTTCTGTTTTTGTCTTGTTTTGTTTTTCTTGACACAGTGTCTCACCATGTAGCTCTGTCCTTCCTGTAAATCACAATGTAGACGAGGCTGGCCTCGAACTTACAGATCTGCCTGCCTCATGAGTACTGGGATTAAAGATGTGCATCACCATGACAGCTGTATGTGTATTTTGAAGGCTAGCCGTTGGGCACTGAACAACCAATTGGTATGTTCTTTCCCGTGAAGGACCATCTCCCCTGCTCCCAGTTCTACTTTGTTCAGGTTGAGGCCTCATGGGATTTTCCCCATCTAGTTCGGCATGTTTGTTGGTGTTCTCACTCAGCTTGCTTTTAGAAGCTGCGATGGTAGCTTACAGTGACTCGACACACTTACACCCTGCCGTTTCAGTGTGTACTAATTTGCCGCACTCTCGGGGTAGAGGGCTAAATTTTGTTTTATTTGCTGTTGACTAGGAAATTATTGGCCATTGGAGTTTATGACAGTAAAAGTCCTCGTTAAGGGTTTACCCACAGTTTACAGCACATCATTTAAACAAATGGCTATTACCCAGTGACAAGGGCATCACTGATAGCTGAGCGGGAGGGAGAGAATTTCTCCAAACGTTGCAGAATGCTGTAGAGAGCAACCTCTTGTTTGCAGCCAAGCAAACTTTTCTGTATTCAGCACCAATATTTCCGTTCTTGGGTAGTTAACTTGGGGTTTGCTCTCTTAGTCCATTCTACGGCGAAAACCCTGAAAATCAGGTGACTTATAAAGTACAGACACCTTTCTCGGCACAGGAGCTGGGATGTTCAAGATCCAAGTGGAGGCAGTTTGACATTGCACAGGGCTCTCTTTCTCACCCAGGGCTCCACCTCCCTGTGACCCGCAAGCTTTGGGGCATCTGTGCTTTCTACCCTTTTCATGGGAGCACTAAATATGTTCATGGCCTTGTCATTCATGACCTAACTACCTTTCAAAGTCTGGACCTCCTAATCAGACAGTCACCTTGAGGGTCAGAATCTCAGCATTCAATTTGTGAAAAACAGACATCTATAGCCACATCATTATATTGCTCAGCTTCATAATCTTTTTACACACACACACACACACACACACACACACACACACATACACACATTTCCCAGCCAAAAAGAAAAACTTCTTAATTATGAGTCGGCTTTTACAAAATCTATGCAGGCAAGGAAAGGTTGGGAAGAATGATACATCCTTCCTGGCGGTAGCGGAGCCCAGGATGAGATTCCTGCTTTTGGGCAATGAGGAGGGGGTATTGACAAGACTGAGCAGAACACAGCTCCATGGGGCTGAATTCAGAGAGCCTTGCTCTAGGCTTCTGTTCCAGATCACGCTCTCCTCCCTCTGATTGTTTAGTGATGGGTCTTACACTCTGCACAACAGGAACAAGTTTCCCAAGACTGTAGCTGCAATTTGTGTTTTAACGCTTGGAATTGTGTGATTTATCCTGGTCTGCATCAGAAAAGTGGCACAAGCCCATTTCATTATGTTGAACTGAAATTTATTATCATTTTACCAAACATAAATCAGGCACTAGATCCAGGACACATCACCTGAGGCTGACATTCCCAGCCCCTTAGCGGTGCGTGGCAGTGAATGTATTTTCTTGTTCTTTCGCTGCTGCATTGTGAATCATCGCCTCTGCCTCATGGTGCTCCATTCAGCTGGATGAACCCATTTCTTCCCAAGGGTGAAGGTTTTTGTAGAATAATAGAAAACTTTGACCTGACCTACATTAAACCCTTGCTTCTTATCACACTGTCCAAAACTCAAAAAAAAAAAAAAAAAAAAAAAGAGCTGAAAGAAAGATTCAGGACAGTCCCTTTTTTATTAAAACTTGTGCCGTTTTTGTTACGTAACAGACAGAAATGTTTGGGAAGACTTTTCTGCCTTCCTTGATATTCTCAAGTACTTTATAATTCCACCTTAATAATCTATGCAGTTTGTTGTGCGAATTCATGGGGTTCTGCGTATTCCCAACTACAAAATGAAAATCTGAAATGCGGATTTGACTATACAAAAACAACTTGGTGAAAGTAAATTTCAGTGATATTTGGTTACTAAAGTTAATTTCAGATTTTAGACAATAAGGTTTTAAAACTTCTCACAGTGACCAGAACTTCATCGGTGACTTTCTACTCTGAGATTAACGTCTCAATATGCATGCCATTCCCTCAGGAGGTCGAGCTGTGCCGCGTTAGCAGTCAAGAGAAGCTGGGCCTGACAGTCTGCTACCGAACCGATGATGAAGAAGACACAGGCATTTATGTCAGCGAGGTGAGGGGTGCTGTGGGGAGAATGGGGGGAGGGATGACTTGAAAGGAGGAGAAAAGCCTCTCTCCAAGGCCTGAATGTGGAAAGCTGGCTGCCATCCAATTCTTGCCACTTTCAATTAGGGAAGCAAATTACGCTGCCCAAGTAATGCAATTATCATCAGCTTGTTTAGCGAGGAGGCTTTCCCTGCAGAATCCCAGCAAGGAAAAGTGTGAAAGTGGTAACACTGTCTAAATTTGAATAAATTCCCATAAGACAGTAGCAGGCTGAGCACAGCCCCGGTCCCCAAACATTTGTCCTTCCGTTCCATTGCATCTTCTATACTCTGCTAACAGCACTATTGGCTCATTATTTTAAACTGGCGGGCATAATAATCACCTTTTATACTCTGTGTGTGGGGTGAGTAGATTTATATACCCAAGAAATACACCTGTCCATTTCTTTTGTTCAACCACAAGATCCTTCTCAGAGAAGGCCAAGAACTGTATTTGAGTCATCATTTTAATGTTAGCTTGAAAAGACTTATCAAGCAAAATGTATTACAGTAGACTTCAGGAAAAGTAGATCATTTTTACTATAGTGGTTTTTTTTAAGTAAAAAAGCATGTGTCTTTTTAAAATTATAAATGCTTTTTATTTATTTATTCTCTCATACAATGCAACCATACTGCCGCCACCTCTCCTCCCTTCTTTCTTAGATCCACTGCTCCTCCATTTCCCTTCAGAAAAGAACAGGCCTCCCAGTGATATCACCAAAGATGACATAACAAGATGCAAAAGGACTAGACACAGACCCTCATATCAAGGCTGGAGGAAGCAACCCAGTAGGAAGAAAAGGGTCCCAAGAAAGGCAAAAGAGTCAGGGACACCCTCCACTCCTATTGTCAGGAGTCCCGCAAAACCCCAAGCTATAAAACCACAGCTTATATGCAGAGGACCCATACATATTATTTAAAACTACACACGTCGTCACACGTGGAGATGTGTACATTACATACCTTAGCTCCTGCAGCTATGTAAGGGTTAGGCAAACGACATGCTAATGTTCTCTGCAGTCTGAGCTTTCATGGCTACAGCGTTAAAACAGTACCTACACGGAAACCCAGTACAATAGTTTTCTACAGAGTTGCTAGAATATGCAAGGGATCAGCTACTAATGTACTTGGAGAGGAGCTCAACTCTTCAAGTACAGAATGGTGTTCTTCTCCATCGCTTTACTCTGAAAATATAGAATGGTACATTTCTTTATCATTTTGCTCTCACGTGGAAAATTGTCCAGAGAGCATTTCATTTGGCTACTCTTTAAAACGAGCAACTCCAACAAACCCTCTCGCTGAGGGATGGAGTTGTAAAGAAATACTTGCTGAAACCTTGTCCGTTATGTGCACAGAAACAGGCAGTTCTACGGGTGGTTTGATTTAAAGTTTTAAAGACAAAGTTTCAGCGTGATGAGTGGCTTTTAAAAGGGATACAATTCATTAGCAATTATAATGTCCTCTGCATTCTGGGAAGTCTCCATTTAGTATTTAAAGCTGTCAGACTTGAGACCTCTCTTTTCAGAGGTGACAAGGGGGCCATAGGAACTGAACAAGTGCAGCCGGGAAGAGTTGTCCTCATCTTACCTATATATACTCAGAGGGCCTTTTGCTGGATTAATCATCTTAGCCTCAGTTCTTAAGTGCGACTCCTAGTAAGGAAGTAACGTGTAATGTTGGAACTGAATGGATCAACCTCACTCAGTAGTTGAAAAATTTAACTTCGAGAAGAAGCTTTGATGGAGAAAGCCAATAGAAATGACTTGGAACTATCACAGGAAGTTAATAGATAAAATCACCCTCAGTGAACTGAAAGCCATCACTCAAGTTTGGCCTAATAAAATGTTGGAATAGTCTAAGCAAAGCTTTAAATCTCTATTTGTTCTAATAATGCAACATTTATATAATTAGCACTGTCATGTAAAGTGGCACCAAGAAACAGAATGTGCAGATAGGATTTTTTTTTTAAGTTCTTGAACGATATAGATTAAAAATCTCTTCAAGTATAATATCCTTGTGAGACTGAAATCCCTTTAATAAATGTGGGCATAGGAGATCTATCAGATTTCCTAAGAGATGTCCAGTATCATAAGTAACCTAATATACCGTCAATTCCCTGGGTCCAGGAGAGTCCTGGGATTAACATCATCATAGCATCCTGTCAGCTAAGGACAGTCTGACAACGTGGCTTCAGAAATGACTGAAATGATGTGAAAAGGGTAGGCCTGGATGGAGGGGGAAAGGGTGGGCAAGTGGCCTGCAAATGAAGCTCTGCCCCTGTCCATTTTATTACTGCTAACTCTATAGCAGTTCATTTACAGCTCTAGAATTAGTGCTTTTGACCGAGAAAAAAAAAAAAATGGCTCGCACCCTGCCATGAATCTATAGAGAATTTTGGTCCAATGTAGTCCAAAACTACAATATCTTGATATGTCTTTAAACTACACTGTAAGCTCCCAGAAGGATATTATATGGCCCTGAAGATGCATGCCTTCTCTATTACAGGTTGACCCAAATAGCATCGCTGCCAAGGATGGCCGGATTCGAGAAGGAGATCGTATTTTACAAGTATGTGATGCGTGCATTTCCTCAAGTTTCCCACAGTCTGTCTAACAGCTTTCATTTTATCTTGTTTCTTGTAAAGTGTTAGGGGGTAAATAGCTTGTCATTGCTTTTGCATACTATCATCTATACAACAAAACAAAACAAAAAACCAAATCTATTGCTTTAAACACTTTCAAAGTAAAGGTGGTGCCATTTCTCAAGAGTTGTTAGGTCATAATTATTGAGACACAGTTCCTGGAATAAAGTGCCTTTGGCCTCCAGCCCAACCATTGCTTTTGGCACAGTTTGCCTTCGTCTACTGCAAGCCCATTCTCTTATCTTGAGCTATCACCCGCTATCGTTGTGAAGGTTACATGATCTGTGTGTATTGTGTTCAGTACAGAGGTGATAAAAGACTGATAAGTGGTTTTTGGAGTAAACCACTTGAACATGGAGCTAGGTGTTCCCTTACCGTGCAAAAGTCTAGAAGTCCGAAACAGCTGTAGCCCATGACTAATGAGTGAGCTGCCGAGGCCAGATGGGAGAGCTGAAATTTCTTCTCCATAGAGAAATACGAAAAAAATAAAGACACTTACCTTCCAGTTGAATGAGAAATGGGAAACGCTGAGCAGATCATAGGAAGGTCCAGGGCTGGAAAGAGAGTTCCAAGGCCTCACAGGGGTTAACAGAAAGCGAAGGGCTTTGCTCTAAATCTACCTGGCTCATGACGTCCCTCTGGGTCCTTGCCTTAAAGAGTGACTAGAAGAATCCAAAGCAAAGTCTAACGTCCAGATCAACCTCCAAGTGAAACTGCTGAGTTGAGTTCTTGGTCACAGCAGTGAAATGGAAAAAGGGGCTCTAGCATGGTGAAGTTAAGGAGTACACACTTAAAACTCAGAACTTCTAGATGCAGTAAGAGAGCCAGCGTTCCCCCATCTCCTGGCTAGTTGTGGATTCCCCGGGAAATGCTTCTTCAGAATTTTTGCTGTAACTCCGAGCTTCAGAAATACACAAGATGCACTTGGCTAACCCTGTCCTGTCTAACTGGGAAGACAGCAGCCCACACAAATGATCACAGAGCAGCAGGGCATCATGGAGGTGTCTGAAGCTGGTTGGTGTCTCACCCCGCCAGGGCCACTTTACTAACCTCCATCATGCTCACACTCCTTTTCTTTCCTTAGCTTGATACCATGGACCCTTTCCACCTATGGCCCTCTACAAAGGCTAGGGAAGAATAAAAAGTAAGAGTTAGCAATTGAGAATTTTCCAGAAAACCTCAAGAGTATGTAACGCAGTAAGACTTATGAGTGGTGGCCTGTGCTTAAGCAAATGGAACTGTGCCCATTGTTGGGTACATCAGGAGAATAAAATGTTTGTCTGGCAATCTAGACTCAGCCTTTTTCAAGACACATGTTCACAAACACATACTCACACACACTCACACACATGTGAACAAGTCAATGAGTGAAACAGGCATTCTGGACAGGTGAATAAAATCTACAGAGATGCTTTGCTAAGACAGTCTACTTTAAAAGTTATGTTTTAATACAGATACTGGAAGGTTCAAATAATCTATTGTTTACAATAAAATGAAATATTAGCTGTGTCCTCGCTTTATTAGTGTCTCCAATGCACTGAAATGATGTGACTTCCTGGCTCTCAGTGGTCACTAAGCGCTAACACACAGTAAGGTGTCCAGCATATGAAAAGCGTGAAAGGTTTTGCACCGTCAAAGTAACCACCCTATTCAACCATGTCTTTGATGTGTTAAATCTGTCCATTGTCATTTTCCTTGCTGCTTCCCTGCCAGCTCATCCTTCTTCCTCTACCATGTGCTCTTCACACCTAAAGCTCCTATTATACCATCACCTGGCTCCCTTCCAGTTCTCTGGCTCTCCCATAGGCAAACACAGTTTCTAAAATCACATTTTAAAAAAGATTACATCCTTTCGTTCTGTGGCTCACTGCATAAAAATGGGGTGCATGTATTTCTGTGAGACTGAGCATTTTGAAGCTTCTAAGTTCTTAGCTATTCTGTATGCGGATTTATTTGTGAAGAAAAATGCCTACAGAATAATAAAGAGTTCCTTAATGGAATTAGTTCATTGAGGAAACAATGGCAGGGTTGATAAATGCTGTTTTCTGCCAGATTACTTTATATTCTGTGACAAATACTGCAAACTAAATGAATACACACACATCACATTAAAAAGCCTGGAATTCAATTTTGTCTCACACACAGAGGAAACAAAGTGTCTTAAGGGTGATGGTGAAATTATATCAAATAAAACTGTGACAAAAATTGTTGCCACAGACCAATAGCTCCCATCTGTCTGGTGGAGAGATTCTAGGAAACCATGCAATGAACAATTAATGACTACTTTCCCAGGGAGAGGGCAATGGGACAAACAGAGGAATTTCTTCTTATCCATAAGGTTTCTTGGTTGGCTTTTATTTAAGTGAACCTCTCTCAAGCAACTATGTCTTTAATTGTCTATTTATGATGAGCTAAGTTGAGTACATTTATGGGCCTGCTGCCCTCATTGCAGAATTAATATTTTCTTTATCTTGCATTACCACAGACTTCTCAGATGACTTCCCAATAGCACGCATTTCACACACATAACACACTCACTCACAGATGCTAGACCTGGCAGAGCGAGTCAACTTCTCCAGAATACGTCCAGTTCCCGTAAGTTCAAAGCGCTGGTTGATTCTGTCCGCTGTGTCACTGACAATAACTTAGCTCCAATTTGTCCCAGAAATTCACCTAAAAACAAACAAACAGACAAACCTCTAGAGCTGAAGAAGGCATTTCTGAATCAGTCTGCAAGGGTTAAATGTCACACAAATAACCAGTACCTGAAAGGAGGAAGTACTGTGTGTCACTGTCTCCTTGCAGTGATGAGCACAGAAGATGCCCGGCAAGCAGCCTGATAACCATGCTGGCTAAAGCACCAACCGTGTGCCTATAGAGTCTCCCTGTGAAAGCTCTGCCAGACGGCACGAGCATTTGAGTGGGCTGTCTGCGTTCTCTGCACTACATATGAATCGCTATAGAGCCTGTCTTCCTATGTGTTTCTCTTATTGAACAGCAGTTCTCCCTGATTCTTTTCTACCCCCATCTATTCCTTCCCTCTCTTTGTGATTAAACACGTACAAAACATAGTACCCTTCTTTTTCCCAAGATACTTAGCTTGTTTTTCTGTTTTTGTTTTTGTTTTTTCCGGAGAAATGTCAGAGTTACTTGGATGTTAACATTTCAGATCTTCATCCCTCACAGGTGCAATAGTGTTGACCCTAAATATTGGTATATTGAAGCAGAAAAAAAAACCTATCATATACCACTTATAGACTTTTGGGCATGGACCTCCACATACTCTCCCCTAGGAGACCAGACCTAAAGTGAGATTTTTAATTAATTCCATCCCACCCAGGACAAAGACAATACCTATTTCCCTGCCCCAACAATGCCCATTTTGAAACGAACATTTGCATATGCCTATGCAAAGAAAATACGAGGTCTACATCTATTATCCCCAAAGACTAACCTCATTTAGAACAAAGCCTACGTATTCTCTTCCTCGAGGCAGTCATCCCTTCTTTCTTAAGCCAAGCGTCCTTCAGGAAGCTGAGGGGGACAGGGCTGGCCATGTGTCTCCTCCCTGTGATCCTTTATGTCTTCCTGGTGTCCTCCAGCAAAGGAAGCTGCTTTCCCTCTAGCAGCCCTGTGACCACAAGCCATCATTTCAGGAACAAAGACAACTGAAGGTTGAAAGCTCTTGACTCCCCTCCTCAGATCTTCCATCCTTTGAGAGGACTCTTTGCTGCAATGCATGGCCGCATCTCTTGCTTTATATCCGTTTAAGCATCAAGTTAAAATCCCGAGTACACGACACTGAACTCTACCAAAGCAGCTGGCTAGAGTGGCCCTTCTTTTGACTAAGAAAACAGCGAATAGCATTTTAATAGCAAATTTCTGTGGTGGCTTCATTTCATCCCACGCGTGATCTGGAAGGCGAGTGGTTTCCACAGCAAATGCTTTGTGTTACCTGGCAATTCCAGAAGCCAAAACTCAGAGCACTGTGAGTTTACAAAGAAGAAAGCTGAGTGCCAACTACAGAGGGACTGAAAGGCAAATGTGGCACAGTGCTGGTGGCTTCCTTAGAGTTAAAACTGTGTCTGGAATAAATACCTGTCTAGACAGAACTAGATGGACTACTAAGGATTTATGTATTTGTGGATTTTACTCTATTTTCTTTGCTTAGCAGGATAGAGTTTGCCTTCACAGTGGACTAAAGGTATAAACAGTGAAAGCAGGGCATTGTGTGCATCTATGTGAGTGTGTGCTGACACCATGCCAGGAACATAGTTAAGCCCTTTACCACAGCCCTCTGGAAAAGCCACAATGAGCATCTACTCTAAGTCAACAAAGATGATGGCATTAGGATAGGAGAGGTGAGGAGCAAGGTTAAGAGCAGGTGAAATGGGCAAAGAAAGGGAAAGTACACCTATGTTTAAGTGAAAATTAGAGGGGAAAGTAATGAATATTACGTCCCAGGCAAAGGCAGAGATTAGCTAGAAATCACAGGACATTTACCACCAAACACTCCCCAGAATGAGACAGATGTGTCTTACAGGTGGACACATGAGTTGCACGTAAACTAAAAAGTGACGTGAAATGGCCCAAAGCCATGGTCAATGGCAGTAAAGCCACAGTCCTAGTTGGAGAAGGCATTTTTTGAGAAATGGAAATAAATGTTCATGAAACCTGTGAGTACCGGGGTTTTTTCTATCCACAGATGAGCAAGAAATGAAGGTGGTACCTGCTCTGATCAGAGTACAAAACACCTGTGGGTTGCATGATTTTCTTCACTTGTGGTCTGTTCTCCTAAGTATCATAATAAAGAGTTGAGGAATAAAGATTATTTGTTGTTTTCCAAAGTGAGATTGTTAGGCTAATGTTTTTGTTGTTGTTCTTGTTTTTTTTGTTTTTTTTTTTTTTTTTTTTTTTTTGTAATCTTTGTCTCTGCAGGTCAGCCAGAATCCCAGACACACACAAGTGAGAACACTGAGTGAAAATATGAAATTACTGGAGAAAAAAAAATTGGCTAGCATGGCTATATCTTTTCTGTTTGGCTTACATAATTAGTATTCATTTAGGCAAAACTTCTTCTATGTTTGAAAATTTAACATAGTTTGATAATATGCTAACGACAGAAAAATATTGTCTGTATGGATCTGAGAAATCAATAAAACAAAATGAATTTTAAGCATCCGAAGGAAAATACGCTAAATTAAAAATAAACACATCTGAACATGAAAATGTAGTTTAAGGATGCTTACTCTATTTTTAGAACCTAGGAAAACTGAATGCTGTAGGATTTTTTTTTCCCCCTACCCAGTCAAAAGCTCCCAGAAGGTTGGTTCCTTTCCCTCGTTTTGTAAAGTCAAGCTTACATGGAGCCAATCTTTAAAATTTCCCAGTGTATTTAAAACATTGCATGCGCTTTGTTGAAAAAAGAAACAGGGTACTCCTCAGGAGTCAAGTACCAGGAGCAGGGTCCTAAAGAGCCTTGTTCTCTCTCTGGATTAGCCTCACTTGGGAGAGAGAGAGCTGGAGAGATGTTTGGACCACTGAGTCAGACCTCACACAAATACGAAGTGATTAACCAAGCCCAGGTCAGCTGCGGGCTGGGAGAGCAGCCTGCACACAGGCTGCCCGCAGCTCTCTAATTGGCTCCCGGGAGCGTGCAGGATGACGGATTTCAGTTGTGGAACTGCTGGCCGCTTCCCCCAGCGCTATTATCTCAGAGTGACACTTCCATTACTCTGAGCGGAGAAAGATGAACGTCACCTGTCAGGGGCTGGTTAATTGTGTCGCTAGATGTATGTTGCCAGGGCGCAGGTTGGACATTTATGAACATAACTGCTTCCTGTGATGTCCACCATCCTTCAGGGATCGATATGGCTCTTACAGCACGCGTGTAATTGAGTGAAGGCACTTTCCACGGAGGGGTGAAGATGAGCCCATTGTGGGAGCCTCGTTGTCCATACATTCACCATAAATGAGCTAGTATTTGCCATTTATTGTGTGCAGCATTGTGGAAACAGAAACTAATGTGCCACCTTCATTTGTTCTCTAGATAAATGGGGAAGACATCCAGAACCGAGAAGAGGCCGTGGCTCTGCTGTCTAGCGAGGAGTGTAAGAGAATTGTGCTGCTGGTCGCCAGGCCCGACATGCAGGTCTGAGCAAAGAGCAGGGTCTTGAGACTGGACTTTCTAGTCAATGAGTTCATGAATGAATGTGTATGCATTCCTGCTAGGCGACACAGAATCACTTTCCTGAGTGTCTGTGTGACCATGGATAGAAAACACTGCAAAGGCTGATCCTCAACTGCCTAACCTTACCCCCAAAAACCTTGCTAAAGTAACTCCACAGAAAGGCAGCTAAACATTCGATTTTAGGGGAAAAATTAAAACACACAAAATGGACCCCCCTCTCCTTCCTCTCTGACTCTGTCTCTCTCTCTGCTTGGTAGTTATTTAAAGGAATTAACAAATGAGAAATAGTTGGCTGCAGATTGTTTTAAATTCTGTGTAGCCCTTCCTTCAGGCTCCCACCTAAAATACATAATTGGCATATTAAGGCATCATGAAGGATTCTCTAATGAGAAAAATGTTAGCATATGTAGCTATCATCTTAAATCGTCTTAAAATAACTTTATCAAATGAACTATCTATGGTGTAGTTCCATGGAGGGCATGAGTTCTTTTCCATAACTAATATGACGAAAACATTTATCGCCCCCCCCACAAATGATGCTTCAAAAGGAATACATTTATATCTTGACAGAGGACGATGTCATCAGAGTAAAGAGGAGGTAATGCTAGGAGAAAGGTACTTAACTGCTATCTCTTCCCACATGCTTTTCTTGTCCCATTGAATGCAAAAAGGACAGCTCCCTGTCACTGTCCTATCCACCTGTCACTCCTGTGAGGGAAGTTGGTTATGTCACCATTTGTCTTGCAGGTTATTGATCTGATATTTTTCAGACTCAGTAACTACATTCTCTCTATAAATTACACTGAGTCAGTGTACTTCAGCGTCAGGCTGGGCCCTGACTTGAATATAGTGGTTATAAAAGATCACTCTCTCCGCATACATTTCCTTTATGCCCTGGACCATTCTAAATGGCTCTCGTAAAGTTGCTGTAGCCTGGAGCAGAGTAAAGATACACACCTGAGGTCTTAGTTGTGGGAAAATGAGCCCATACAACAGGCTGCAGGGCCTCGTTGCTAAGAAAGAATGTTTAAAATACATTTGAAATTGTACCAGTTATCTAGAAGGTTTTTAGGCCAATGATCTCACTGACCACATTTCCTTAAAAGTGTAAAATAAAATAAGAGGAGGATGTCAGTGAAGTTCACCTAAGTTGAAATTAATCGAGCAGCCACTCTTGCCGTAGAAAGGTACAGGTCCCATTTCCTGTCCTTCCGTGTTGCTCCAGGGAAACACATGGGTTTAGAGTTGAAGTCTTTCCAGTGAGGTCACGATGGCTTAAGACGGGCCCCTGCTACTGTTTGTCAGAGGCATCTGCCTGGCACAGGATGACTAGCTGGTTCACCCTCCTTAACTTTGCCCCCAAAGAGCCAGCTTTGGAGGGTAAATCATCAAATCAGACTCTTCAGATCTTTGGTAACAGCCTCCGATGCTACAGAACACCACGCCACCTGCTCAAACCAGAATTTGCCTTCACCCTGGTCCTGAAAAACAAAAGGCTCCACGGTTCTAGAAAAGGCACACTTGCTTTGAAAATTAGATTTCCAATAAAAATCATCTAAGAAAATTCACATTAACACCACACTTTAAAAATAGAATTCACACAGTACGTGCTATCATTGAAAAAAAAAAAAAAAAAAAACAACAAATCCTGTTTTTCCATCTGCTATCTTTGTCTATCAAATTCAGTATATCTTGTTGCATTGTGTGTATTTTATGGAGGGAGAATGAGGAAGCTTTTTGTGTGCTTTTCCTAACATGTTTAAAAATGTTTCAAATACTCTCCAGACTCTTGGAAATGATCTATGTGCTTGCTGGGGGCAGTATTGGGCATCTGTGCAATATTTTTAAATAACTCATTTCCTTCATTCCCTGTCACCTTTCTTTCATTTCCTGCCCGTTTTCTTCCTCAGACCATTAAAGATATTGCTTTTCTATCCTATTTCCCTCGGGAGATGGGGGCAGAGAGGGCTCTCAGAGAAACTTGGAGCCACCACGTTTGAGCCGGTGTACTCTGTCTGTTTTCTGCGGCGCCATGGATGACCTGCTTTGTACAGGCTCTGTGAAGGTGATCCCTCCTTTCCTGCAGCTCAGCTCAAGTAGTGCATGGACTGAAGGTGGATGGGAGCTGCAGAGGTACAGCAGGAGGAGAGGGAGCAATGAGAAGCCCTCTGCTCCTACAGTGCTCTGCGCCAAAAGACAGACACATAGGTGCCTACAGATGGTGACTTGGTCGGAGGAAGTCATTTCGACACTGTCCTCAGCTTTTCCCACCACCTCATTGAGCCCGCAGAAGACTGTTCCTATGTAATTATAAGAAAGTGTCTACTTTGACCTGATTAAAGAAAACAGTCCTTGGATTTATAAGAAGCAAGCATTCTTAGCTTGAGATAATTCTGTTTGGAGTTGAATTCTGCAGCTTCGTGGTTCAAAAAAAAAAAGGATTAAAGACTACAGAACTCTTAGTTAGCATAGTCATTTGCATACCTTACTTGGGCCACATTAAGAAAAATGAGGACAGATCAGCTTGTCCATACTTGTGGCATACAGTTAAATCTGAGGTAATGTAAGTTCTGTGTGGGCTTTAATAGACACCAGGGAACCCACATGCTCTAGTTTGCTTCCTGTTGCCGACATAAACTCCAGGACCAAAAGCAATTGGGAGAGGAAAGAGGTTTTGGTTTGCTTGATTATTTGTTTGTTTTAGCTTATAGTTATAGAGCTAAGAGAGAAACCAGGGCATGAGTTCAAGACAGATTCCTGGAGGCAGGGACCACAGGGGATGCTGCCTGAGGGCTTGCTCAGTACCTCCCTAACACAGCCTGGGCCCACCTACCCACAGATGGTCTAACCCACAGTGGGCTGGGCCCTCCTGCCTCAGTTGACAACTAAAACAATGATCGCACAGATATGTCCACAGGCCAATCTGATGGAGGCAATTTTTCCATGGAGATTCCCTCTTCCAGGTGTGTCAAAACAAATGTTTCCTACGACACCACAATATGCCTTCTATTAATGAATGTCATGCATGTGTGTGAATACTTAAGGTACCACTGACTATTCCATTTACAAGGTTCTTTTGTTGTTGTTGTTGCTTAAGTCTTGAGACATTCATTTGTCTTTAAAGGTTTCTTATTGAAAATACCTCCAACTGTTGTCCTTTTTGCTCATTAGAAACCTGTCTTCTTTGTAGCACAGAGTAGAGTTCTGATGACAGCACAGGCTGTTAATGAGCATAAACAGTTAATTTATGCACTCCGCCTCCAGAAATCCACTTCAAGGCCAGTTATGTGCACTGGCCATCAACAGCAATAGTGTTGTGACAGTAATCTCCAGCTCTCCATTTCACTCTCTATGAAGAAGCCAACAGGATTTATTGACAGAGCCTTACATTCCCATCCCCCACAAACAAAACTGCACCGTTCTAATACCTTTAAATATCACCTTGGCCATGATGCTCCCCCTTCCCCCCGCCATGAATAGACATGATGTTATCCTCAGAGGCACTGTCTGTGTGTAACCTGCTTAAGGCCTTGAGTCAATTCTCAGAACCTTGTGAATAAAGAGGCATGGCTATGATTGCTTCCTCCCTTCCTCCACCCTAAAAAATTCAGGTGCTAGTAAGATGGCTCAGTGGATAGAGGCACTCACTACCAAGCCTGATGACCAGAGTTCAATTCTGAGAAGCCACCTGATGCAAAGAGAGAATCCTCAAGATCTCCTCTGACCTTCCTATGGGTCCCATGGCATGTGGACACACACAGGAACACATACATGGAGAAAGAAAGAGTGGGGGAGGGAGAAGGAGATGGAAAGAAAGAGAAAGAACCAATAGATAGGTAGATAGGTAGGTAGATAGATAGATAGATAGATAGATAGATAGATAGATAGACTTTTGGTTTTTAGTCTTATGTTTTTGTTTTTAACTTTTCCTTTTCTTTTTTATAGATAAAATCAATGTTGTCTGTCAATTCTTTTAGGACAAGCTCGCCCCTTGCTAACTTGAGTCACTAAAATAGAAAAGCAGGGTGAGGGTAAAATCTGCTTTTTGGGGCCACTTTGGATACAGTCTCACCTGGGGACACTGTTAAGGGTAAAGGCCCGATTGTCTCATAGGCCCATCAGAACCATTACAGTTCTTTTAACCCAGGGCTGTGGGAGATAATGAGCCAGCTGTGGATTCTGCAGTCTGCTTTTCACAGGGTTTGAAAGATGGTAATGTTCTGTGCTATGGGATTTACTCAGTTACAAGAGAAAATCTGAAGCTGTTTCAGGAGAGGATGAAAGGCGTAAGAATCCTTTTCTTTCTTTCCTTTTGTCTCACCTTTTCTTCTCTCTGAGAGGTGACTACAGGGGGCTCCAGTTCTGAAGAGAAGCGCTGACAAAGAGAGCTGGTCGGCAGTCAGCATCGAGGCAAAACCCGTTTCAGCGTGAGTCTCACTAACATAATGATGTAATGTACTAATGTGCTCCTTTGCAGCTGGATGAAGGTTGGCTGGAAGATGAAAGGAATGAATTCTTAGAAGACGTAAACTCGGAGATGCTGGAGGAAGAACCTAATGACGGAGCGCAGTGCACAGCCAATGAGCTGCAGCAGGTAGGGCCGCTAGTCTGAACTGCATCATCGGAAAGGTCGCTAGTTCTCCTTAATGGAAAAGAAAACACAATCGAAGGGTTTGATGAGACAGCTCTGTAACCGTAATCTTTTCTGAGCAAATGATCTTCTCAAATGACGCAGAGGGAATATGTACCTTTTCTATTCAAAATATTTCCAGCTTGGAAAGCCTGAGGATTATTCTTAATATCATACAGTAGCATCAAGAGTGTTGAAATATGTAGTTTTCAACATAATTTGCAGAAACTTAATAGTAAACGTGTGTGTGGCTTATGGATATACTTGCTAGAATCACCGATTATCAATCAGGAGGTAACTTCAAAAACTATTTTGGACTTTAAAATATAAATGTTTCCATGTGATTGGTCAAGCTGTAAATAGAAGATGATAACATGGTGTAAAGATTTGTGTACTTGATGGGTTCATGACACCCGTGTACTCTGGAATAACCAAAAAGGTGATCTTTGGCCCAATGGCTGCTCTATGCATGCCCATGGCATAATTTGAGGTGATTGAAATAATGTTGAGACAGGGTTTCTCTGTGGGCTGCCCCGGACTTGCTCAGTAGAGCAGGCTGGCCTCAAATTCACAGAGATCTACCTGCCTCTGCCACCCTGAATGCTGGGATTACAGGCATGTGCCACCACACCTGGCTGACATCATGTTGTCTTAAAGGTCACATATTCATTCAATGAAAATTTGAACTTTTAATATGTTCCAAGTATCATACTTGAAGGTGGGAGTGTTTTGAAAACAGAGTTCCTGACCTTAAGAAATTCATAACCGGGGAAGACCACAATGTGGACTATGGCAAAGCGTATCTAGGAGTCTTTTTATTCTTGCTATTTTCACACTACATAAAAACAAAACTATATAGCCTAGATTTTTACGTCTAGTTCATGACCTTCATCTGCCTGGCATAATCTTGTTGCCATTTCTCTGGCAGTTTACTGATTTGTTTAATTAGCATCCCGTTCTCAACATTAATTGTTTACCCGTCATAAAGATGTTTGTTTAAAAAAAAAATCCTGACAGGTTTAACCACACGAAGCTAGACATCCTATCACCTCACCAAGCTGAATAATGAAATATGTTTACATGCTACCTTCTCAAACAAAAGGTACTAACTAAACCGTAGGACTGTAAGCTACACCATCAACCCAACCAGGTGGGATGCGAATCCTGACTGTTACTGGCCCCTCCACTAGGGTAGTCTGTGCTCAGAAATGCTGCTGGCGGTTGGCGGTTTTTTTGCAGTATAGATAGGGTTGGAGTTTTTATGTATGACTTCAACAGTGGCCACAAATAAAGATATCTTTTCTTGGCAGCCGCTGCTTACAAGTGAGAAAGTCCTTGCTCCAGGCTTCTTCTTTCTTAGATACAAAATGTGACTCGATACAGCATTGACAGGGGATGTTGGAATAAAGAAGTCAGGGAGGGATCCTGTCTAGGTAAAGTGATACAGTGCAGAGTGCTGCCTACTCATCATGTGTAATACAAATGCGAGGGCTGGTGAAGGAACACCTAAGGTCCCCGAGGTTAGACGCTCATTGTGTGGAAATTTCTCCTCACCATAAGACTGAGAACTGACGAGAAGTACAGAAATCTTTAAAACGTCTTTTGCCCTTATAAACAATAATACTGCATTAGAAATGCCCTGTCAAAAACACTGACTGTCATAACTCCAGAGGGTGGTGAAAAATGACAGCAAGGCCTTGTGTTAACAGCAAGGAACTCCAGGCTTGGAATGGAGATTTTCACTTCCACAGTTTCTCACATACCAGTGACAATGAATTCAAAGTCAACTTAACAACTTAAATTTGTAGGCACATGAATGAGTACTTCATGCCCACGTTAACTTTCTACACTGCCTTGGGTTGGGCTGCTGCTCTGGAATCAATGTGCAGTTGCATATAAAGAACAATACCAGCCTTCCTGCAATGTCTCGTCCTTACAAGATGAGGAAGTTTTCATTGTAAAAACGATTACATGTAAATTCAAACTCCCAAAAGGAATAGGACCATCAAGGATGTGATGGTCAAGGCACACCATGCAGCTCCTGTCAAAGTCAGCACGGGGCTCTGAACGGCTTTCCTTTGTTAGTTACTGTTATCGGTAAGACATTAGAAGCTAGTCATTGTGTTCATTACGAATAAGGGGATGTATTGTAGGGAAAGCTTGAGAATCCTAGAATTAAATGATACATGGCTGTATTTTCTTTATTATTTATATGATATTACATTTGGAGAACAAAACAGCAATTATCTAGAGAGAGCTTTTAAACTTACTTTAGAATCCTTTTATTACTCCATCCAATCTTTTCTTTTCTTTTCTTTACCACAAGTTTGGTTGTATATAATTATGCAGTTAAATTTGCTAGAGTAAAGAATTAGATCTGGTAGTCAGTAAACTTACATGTAAGAAAACCAATGTAGAGCTTACAATGTGGAACATTGATGATTTGTGATAAGGAAAGAAAACAATTTTACTGTATTCATCTCATTGGGCCATTGATAAATTGTTCTATATTAAAATTAAAAAACAACAGAGAGTAAAATTATATGTATGCATATACATACCATATTGTCATATTAGATATGTACCTATAGCTCAAAACATATTCTTGATATTATATGCATGCCTGCTAGTCAGTGTTGCTCATATTTCCCTGGGAACTATCATTTTTATTTTTTATTGAGGAAGGGAATCATTGTTCATCAGTGTAGAAACCAATGCTATGGCTTAGGACTTTTACAGAATATAAAAACAAAACAAAACAGTATATTGTATAGGCAATCAGCAAGGAAGCCAGGGGCTAAAGCAGAGCTCAAACTTGTTTCTGTGATGGGTTAATTTTAGGGGACCTCAGGAGTAGAGAAGGAGGGAGTTCATACCTGACCTAGTTAGAGTTACTATTGCTGTGATGAAAAAAACCATGACTAAAGCAACGTGGGGAGAAAGGGCTTATTAGATTTACACTTCCATATTACTCTTCATCACCAAAGGAAGTCAAGACAGGAACTTAAACAGGGCAGGAACTTAGAGGCAGGAGCTGGAGCAGAGGTCATGGAGGTGTCCTGCTTACTTGCTCTCATGGCTTGCTCAGCCTGCTTTCTTACAGAACCCAGGACCACCAGCCCAGGGATGGCACCACCCACAATGGGCTGGATCTTCCCACATCAATCATTAGTTAAAAAAGTGCACTACAGCCAGATCTTGTTGTGGCATTTTCTCAATGAGGTTCCCTTCTTTCAAATGACTCTAGGTTGTATCAAGTTGACATAAAACCAGCCAGTACACTGACTGACTGGATAGCCTGCCTCAGCAGAGGCTGCACAACTCTGTGGGCAGTTGCTTCCAATACAAGAGATCTTGATCATGTGACACGCTTGTACTGATCTTTCTGCTCATACCTATTCTCAAAAAGCTGGTCTCAATCCATAATATTCAGTCACTAAAGAAAGACATTAATTCTTTTTCTTGGAGATAACCTTGGAAATTTATTAGTTAAGAAAATTACATCTAGATACATCCAGGTCAGGAGTGTAATTTTCAGTCCTGTAATTCCATCTGTTGAGACGTGTTAATATCCACATCAATGTCGATGTTCACTATATCACAGACTACAGTCTGACTGTGAAGACAATTAGAAACACAATTACTACCTATGGACAAACAGAAGGGAGATGCCATCATAGACCTGCAGACATTTTCATTTGGGGTATATTATACTGATTTCTTTCTGGTGCCCATTTTCAGCCTTCCCTGGGGCTCTCTTAGTCAATGAGAATTAAGACACAGTGTAGAAGTTCTTTTTTTTTTTTTTCTAGAAACAACTTAGCCTAGTAATCTTTCACAATAATATTTAGGATGACAGGTCCCTTTCCGGTTTCTAAAACCAGGTGGTGTTTCTTGATGCTATTTTAGTTGAGGTTAGTTTTTCCCATGGTGTTTCTAGAGGGGTGGAGTGGCGGGTGTGACTGTACAATCTCCTTCTGCCTTTGTTCTCAGGTCAAGAGGAAACAGACTATTAGGAACTAGGTGGGCAAGGGACAGTTTACAGACAAGCTGAGATGGATTGTTTTGGGTATTCTGAATGATGGTCCTCACCACACCACGTGACTGAAACAAAAATAGCATCAGAGACAGAAAAAAAGATGTCTTCATAGAAACACTTTTCTACATAGGCTGCTGTGGCTGCTGATCTGTGACCTGGCAGTTATTAGAAGGTAACTTCTTCCTAGCACACTGGCTTCATTTGTTCTTCAGTAAGCTTAGCACAAATGATTCTTGTGATTCTAACAGCTGTCACAGTCCTTTCGCTTTTCCCATTGCTGTCTGTAGCATCAGTGACCAACCATCTTATGGTTAGGTTGATTTTCTGCCAGTTGCCAGCATGACTAGACCATACTGGAGGGGAAGTGACTGATGATGGAGTTACCACCATATTCATTTTAGTCACATTTGGGCAACAAATGTGACTAAAGAGGTTTAGAAGAACTTCTCTCACTCAACCCAAAGATGGCCGGTGTCCCTTGCTAAGTCCTCTTCACTTTCATTCTGTTGATAACATGCATTATGTCAAAGCACTGGGCACGCATCACTGTGTAATGCACTGAAGGCCTATGGAGTCTTGATATGCATGGGTATAAAGTTTTAAAAGAAAAAATATGAAATACACAAGCAAAACACTCGTGTTATATTCTAGTTTAAGCAAAGAAAGATAACTTTCTGTAGCCATGTTAAATTCTATCAAGGAAAACCCAACTTATTTATAAACTTAGTTGTTCCTTAAAAAAATGTCTTTAAAAGGACCCCTACACCTAAGGTTCAGGGAGCCTTTCACAAAGAGGGAGAGCAAAGAGTGTAAGGACCCGGGGGTTAGAACATCTTCTGTGAGATAGCATCTCTTATATATGACAAGGAAGCTGTGCCCATGAAAGGTCATTAATATTGTCATCTAAATCAGATATGCATAATGACACCAGATAGCATGCAATGCATACTGGGCGACATTCACAAAGCCGTATCCCTAGATAAAGACCTACAGGCAATCAGAGGTTGCTGAGTGAGGGAGAATCCTTCTTTCCAGTCACAAGTCCCCTGATAGGCTATCCACTCTTAACGCTGTCAATATTTTACACACACACACACACACACACACACACACACACACACACACAAACTCCTAACAATAAAAATTGAAAAAGAAGGAGTCATGAAGTTGAGGCGTGGAGGCACAGGAGGCGAGAGGTGTAGATGATGTAAGTACACAGTCATATATGAAATTCTAAAAAATAAAATAAAATTTAAATTAAAAACAAAAAGAGGATGCCTTAGACTCTTTTCCATGTATTTGAGTTCGGATACTTTGGAGGAGAAGCAAAAGTGTAGAAGACCAAAGACAATTGTAACTGGTAGAATTTCGATACGAATTAGCAGTTTACCAAAAAAGTAGTTACTTTGACTGCATATAACATTTTCATATAAAAGCCCTGATTGGTAGCATAATATTAATTAGGACTACTCAACTTTTATAGACTTTACTAAGAATAAGTAGATAATTTAAGAATGTTTTGTTGTTTTAGACACAGAGAATCTAGATTCTGGTTTGATATCAGCATGTCAATGTTTGATTTTTAGACCAATAGAAGCAGTCTGTTCTTAGCTATAGCTCATTGGAAACACACAATGTTTTTATTATTTATTTATTATATAATATTTATCCTCTACAGATGCTCTGTGACTGCTCAGAACCTCTCTGGTTTATTTAGCTTTCCTAATTCTTCCTTCCTTCCTTCCCTCCTTCCTTCCTTCTTTCCTTCATTCCTTCATTCCTTCCTTTTCAATCTGGGTCAATTTAGTAATATTTACACAAAATTATTTCTTATCCATAAACACTGTCTTGTGTTTTTCTTGTTAAAAGACATCTTAATTTCTTTTTGTGTTCTTTGTATATAGAATTGCACATGTTAATTATACTTTTAAATCTTAATAACTTTAGCAAAACCCAAGGAGAAAGCAAGCTTTAAATGCCATATACCAAAATTGGGATTAAAATACATTTATAGCCCTACAGAAAAGTCCTTTATTTTTATAAAATTTAAGAAACCTAAGTATATTAACTAATAGTTAATGATACTTGAAAATTTTAAACTTATTTAGACACAGCTCTCATGTTTTGTAGGGTTATAACAAATATAACCCTACCTGGACAGAAAACCCAAGTACACTGTATACTAATGATCTGAACTAACAGGCACGTTTTCAATGTAACAGTTTTAATTTATGAGTATGCTCAGATACCTGTGAGAAAATTTGAAGAGACTTTCTTCAGTCTGTCCTATAAACACATACCACATAATATATACACAAAGGAGTATACAGAAACACGCATATGCAAAGGTTGTATATCCTTCAGCTAGTCATGAGACTGTAATACAAGTTGCCAGGTTAGAAGAAGAAAGTTAAAGCCAGATGATATTATAAACAAATGGAAAGGTGAAGGCCTTCTAATGTTAAGGCTTTTATTTGCAAATCTTTTGCAGTCTTTAGATGGATTTACAAATGAAGCTACATCCACAGCACCTGGTAGAGGTTTTTGTTGTTGCTGCTGTTTATTGTTTGTTTGTTTGCTTTTCCTGGTCTTTGTTCCCAATGAGTCTATGGATTCCCTCTTAGCAATTTCCCTGTTAGCTAGACCTGACTGAAACAGCAATCCTACAAGTAACTTGGAACAATCAAGAGATTTAAAGTGGGCAGAGGAAGAATTTAGAGAGCTAAAGCCCTTTACACACCAGCAAAGGGCCTGCGGCTTTAGATCTGGAAGATCTTAAGACCACAAGGAAACTTTACAGAAGCCATGCCAGTCATACAAAGTAGAGGGGCACACAGAACCGAAGTGAATTTACCAGAGAAAGGGCACAAGGCACTGGCATAAGCTCAGTGATGGCAAAAGACACAGGGAAGTCTCCCTGTTACAAAGGAGACAGGGAAGCAGTCATTTGCTGCCAACATTAGTCTGAGAAATTCTAGGGGCAGTTCACCTTGGTAGGATGGAACTAAATCCTGCTTGCTGTGTCTCCGGGACCCCTGAAGAAAAAGTCACTGCTCAGGAAATGTCCCAACCCCGATACGAAGCTTATAGGGGCATTATCTCCCGACATCACCAATCTGCCAGATGCCCCTGTTAGTGTCTCAGAACCCCCCCCAAACTTCAAGAAGTATAGGTGGCTTAGGATAAGGACTGCCAGTCTTGACTGCAAATGAGTGGAGTTCCTTCTGAAACAGGAGTGGAGTGTGGTCTTCCGAGCTGTTTCCACAGGGCATTATGGGAAACTTTCCTAGCACCTCTCTGAGGGGCCTTGTCACCCAGGGTATCCTGAAAGGAGTGTTCGATTCTTCAGAACCACATATATAGAAAGCTTTCAGAAGAGTCTTGCTATAGCCACCAAATCCCTCACCCTCTATCAAACCAATTGTCACCAACATGGATTCACAAAATGCAAAAAGAGAAACTGATAGGTAGGGGGGAGCATCAAGCAATTAAGCAAGAATATACTTCCAATACTGTTTGAATCAGACCAAACAGCTGTTCAGTGACCCTAAGTAGAACCTTATGATTCTGCTGCTACACACAGACTCCAAAGGCTGCAATAGCCCATGATCCCTGAAGGGCTTGCTGCATCCCGAGAAGTCTGTCCTTGAACCAAAGATTTAGGTTATACCCATAAACCAGGAAGAGCGGCCAAGGCAGCGGCCTGTCATAGGCATACTCCTGCAGAGCCACTTGGTGTCTATTCACTCGGAGATGTTTGCTTCTGCAAAATTGAAGTGGACATGGAAGGTGGACAGCCCTCCCGTGGAGACACAGGTTCAGGCATCTGGACATGGCAGACTGACATGGGTTCAGATGGCCAGCCAGCGAGAGCTGCACCCTCCTGAAGGGCCACCGAGCATGCTTCTTCACAGGTCACAGGTTTTCTTTTTTGTGGGGGAAGTCACATTCTTCCCAGGAGTCTGCGCCTGTGATGTTATCCACAGGCCAGCCTGACTGCTTCTGCTTATGTCCATTCTTAAGCTGGCTCCACAGCATAGGTACCATTGCTGAAAAACTTTGTTATCTAAGGGACTTATGCCCAGGTGTGTCCAGCCCTTAACCAATCCTACCTGCCCCAAACTAAATCTCATCTTTGCAGTAAATTAATAGCTAAGAGTTCTTCGTATGTGCTTGAGCTCTGGGACAGTGTATTAACTTCTGAAGCACGTGATTGGGAGGCCCACTGTGGCCCTGTATCCAGGAGCACAATGTGCTGACCCTAAGTAATGTGGACACTAGGAGGAGAGCTTTGCTTTCCAGCCCACTCTGCCACGAACAGCCTAGATCTGTCTGGGGTGGAGCTTCCTCCTCTACAGACAGAGATGGAGGTTCGGAGTTCCAGCACAGCGTGAAAGAGTGAAGAAAGGAGATGTCACTGCTGGACCAAAGCCAGGACAGCTGCTAAAAGGCTTCAGCCCTAGGTCCAGTTGTATTTTCATTTTATACCCTGAAACCGCAAGGTGGGGTGGGCAACCAAACAAGGTTTTACGGAAGCCTATAATGGAGTCAGCAGGTTGTTAATGGCAACTGCCCATTGTTTAAGCCATTTACCCAGGTCATTCTGTTTCAGGTACCAGGTCTTGCTTGGCAAATGGACAGTAGAAGCAGTTTCTCAGGTAGATTACTAAATAAGTCAGTAAATCATTATTGAATAAATGGTCTTTTCTACCTTATTCTGCTTCGCTTAAAGAAAGTGAAGAAGCAGCGATACGTGGTTGTGGTTCCCAAGCATTAGACCTTCAAATTCCTGAAAGGAGGTAGATATTCTGTCTCTGTTACTCATGTGTGTTTTTACTTGAGAAGTTCAGAGTTACATCATGTATATTCTTCACCTCGGTTTCCAAAAGAGAATAGCCTGAAGTTAAAAACCCTTCATTTCCAGGTTCTCTGTCTGCTTGTTTCCTCTATGTCACTGCACAGAAGGCTGTCACAAGCTAATTGTCTCTATTTCTAAAATTAGTATGCAAACTGCATCTAGCCCTGCTTCTAGGAACTGCACCTTAGCCACGAAACACTTATCAAGCGAGTTTCCAGCAGCCATTTCTTTTCAGAATAATTCCTTGTGTTCTATTTTCTCAGCCAAAAAAGCAGGAGGAGGAAGAAGGCACAACGGACACGGCCACATCCTCTTCCAACAACCAGGAGAAGGACAGTGGCGTGGGGCGCACAGATGAGAGCTTGCGCAACGATGAGAGCTCAGAGCAGGAGAATGCAGCCGAGGAAGCCCACAGCACATCTTTGAAGAGCAAGAGAGAGCTGGGCCAGAGCCAAGACACCCTCAGAAGCCTTGAGCTTCAGTGCAGCGGGAGCTTTGCCGGGGGTGAGTGCTTGGACTCCGACTGTGCCAGCAACCGCGAGGTGTGTGAAGGATTCCAGCAGCTCCTGGAGCTTAAGATTCGAAACCACGGGGACTATGACCTGTACTACTCACGCAGCACAATTGAATGCTGTCAAGGGGAGCAGAGCGGGGTAGAGCACGAGCTGCAGCTGCTCAACGAAGAGCTAAGGAACATCGAGCTAGAGTGCCAGAATATCATGCAGGCGCACAGGCTCCAGAAGGTGACGGACCAGTACGGGGACATCTGGGCGCTGCACGACGGAGGATTCCGAAATTACAACACCAGCCTAGACACGCAGAGGGGGAAGCTGGACGACATCATGGAACATCCCGAAAAGTCGGACAAGGACAGCTCGAGCGCCTACAACACAGCCGAGAGCTGCAGAAGCACCCCCCTGACTATAGACAGGTCCCCAGATAGTTCTCTCCCGAGAGTGATCAACCTCACCAACAAGAAAAACCTGAGGGGCACAACGACAGCCCGTCAGTCCCCTTCCAGACAGAGCACCAAGGAATACACATCTACCAAAGCCAAAAGCGCCGAGGAAGGCTGCAGCACCGAAAGCCTGGAGAAGAGTCTGGAGAACACCCAGCTTCCGGATCAAGAGGGCATGGCCAGGGAGCACACCCCATACCTGTCTCCTTACCACAGCTCCTCCTACAGGTATGCCAACATCCCAGCACATGCCCGGCACTATCAGAGCTACATGCAGTTAATCCAACAGAAATCCGCTGTGGAGTACGCCCAGAGTCAGCTCAGCCTGGTGAGCATGTGCAAGGAATCGCCCAGGGGCTCAGAGCCCAAGATGGAGTGGAAGGTCAAAATTAGGAGCGATGGGACCCGGTACATAACAAAGAGGCCAGTGCGAGACCGGATTCTGAAGGAACGTGCCTTAAAGATCAAGGAGGAGCGGAGCGGCATGACCACAGACGACGACACCATGAGTGAGATGAAAATGGGGCGGTACTGGAGCAAGGAGGAGAGAAAGCAGCACCTGGTCCGGGCCAAGGAGCAAAGGCGGCGCCGGGAGTTCATGATGCGGAGCCGGCTGGAGTGTCTCAAGGAGAGCCCGCAGAGCAGCGGCGAAGGCAAGAAGGAGCTGAGCATCATTGAACTGAGCCACAAGAAGATGATGAAAAAGAGAAACAAGAAAATTTTGGATAACTGGATGACAATCCAAGAACTGATGACCCACGGGGCGAAGTCTCCAGATGGCACTAGAGTCCAAAACGCCTTCCTGTCGGTGACCACCGTATGACCAGGCGAATGGGACAGCTGCCTTACAGAGCACGCTACCAGTTTCGGTAGAGAATGATTGCCTCGTTCAATGTGGCGTTTTTATATATATTTTGTGACTTTTGCAGTTGAAATTTTTTGTAAGAAAAAAAAAAAATACCCGGTACTTTTTAATTTGCTTTTCATACGCTGGTACCTTCTTTGGCTATTATCTTTCTGTAACTTGTGATATATTCATAGCGCTCATTTATAGAAAAAAAATAAAAATAAAACAATGAAAAAAGGAAAAAAAATGACAAAAATACTAAGGACCTAATTGATTTCGTATTTTAATGTATCTATTGTAAGTTAAAAAATCTCGATTTATTTCTCTAATTTTCTTATTTTCTATTTTAATAACTCAATGCCAAAACACTCCTATGCTCGCTTACTGGCATAGCGATTACTAAATCGAATCTGCATATAAACCACGTGCCGCATCTTGTCTCATACATGAAGTAGCACCCCTTTTACAGCCTGTTGTACATTTAACACACACATGGCAGTTGTCTTTGTCTCAGTAAAGTGTGGGTGGACAATCTTCCTGTGATACGTAGTGACACTGGTCATGTAGCTAGGTAATTGTGGTAATTTGTGACAATAAAAAAATAAAAAATAAATTATTGATTATCCATAAGCGAAGTTATCGAGGACTGTTCTTTTCTTTGTCCACTGTGGTTAACATGTTTAGTTGTACGTATACTATTAGAAGACTCTTAGTTGTGAATTATAAACTGTGCGCTTTTTCTACCTTTTTTTTTTTCTTCAATAAAGTTGTTTCTGAAACACTACTCATAGGTCATTGTGTCACATCTTCCTGCCCAGAGCAAATTAGAAAATAGGTGAAGTATTTCAATAATGCTAAATTGCCCTTCATGACCCTCTAGTCTGACTTTTGCATGTGAGAGAGCCAAAAACATATTTCTGGAAGAATGAAGAAAAAAAAAAACTATTAATGAAAGGTCTCCTACAGACACAACTGTTTCACCTGTAAAACTCACATTCTCTGAGAGGCTTCAACAATGGCAAGTTACCTCTCATAGCTCTAAAAGCTGTTAAGTCATTCAACTTGGGTAGGACACAATCCAGACTGTAACACCGCATGTTCATTTAACTGGTCACCTAAAAATAAATTGTGGGAAGCCATTTTTGCAGTAGTTTTCAGCATATTCAATTACATGCCTTATATGTCTTTAGTAAAGAGTATGTTGTTAACCGGCTGGGAAGATTCTGTTTTTTAACCTAGCTTTTCATTGCTTAAACATTTAACCATGTCACATGCCAGTCATAAATGCCTATGGAATGAAAGAAAATGGTAGCCATGGGTGTAAATTTTCATTTAACCTGACAGGCATGGCACCTAGAGATGTCTCAAGCTGATGTCCTGCGAGAAACCTTACAATGCCTGCACATTAGCGCTTCAACCAGTCTTGGGCCTCAGCCCTAGGCTCAGGTCTTCTCATAGTTTGCCCAACTCACCCGCTGCTCTGTCTACTTAGGTCTGAATCACTCCTGCCCCCTTCTCATTGACGTTAGGGCCTCTTACTTTGCTGAGATTTTTGAAACAAATCTTATACCTTATTAGAATGAAACAACAGACAGATTTTGGGGGAACTGTGTCAATGACAACACATTTTCTTATCTCTTCAGAGTATACTGGTATGCACATTGTTCTCCCTTGGCAATTTATTCATAATTAAATCATATACATAGATTGTCATTGTCTCCCTTTCTAGACTTTAGGTTCATGAAAGGACAGTCTTGAATCCCCTTGCTTAGTAATTCTCTGATTAAATTCCATTTGAATAGTACCCTAAATATTTACTCTAAATTATTTTATGAATTTGCATTCCCCTGCTTGCTTCTGTTGCTGCGATTAAACACTCTGACCAAAAGAAACTGGAGCAGAAAGGGTTTAATTTCATCTTTCCCTGCCTATCATTGAAGTGAGTCCACGTGGTAACTTGCTTGCTGCCTTTATCTCTGTAATACTCTCGTGCTCAGCTAGCTTCCTTGCACAACCCTGGACGAGGTGCCCAGTGCCCACTGCAGTGGGCATGGCCTCCTACATCAATTATCGGTCAAGTCAATCCCTTAAAGACATGGCCACAGACCAATCAGATAAAAGTAATTATTCAACTGTGATTGTGTCAGGTTGACCTGTGATGCTACCCGAACAGCCCTCCATAGTGGTCCTTTTGCTGCTGTTCTCCTGCCTTTCCATGACTGCATCTTTTTGAAAGGCTATCCCATACAGGGAAATAAGCTCATTTTATTTGTCTATGGTAGAAAGCTGACTCAAATTTTATAATAGTGATAATAATATCAAAGTAAAGCAATTGAAGGTTTCCTTGCTTCTTAATTCTAGCCATTGTAAGTGAAATTGCTTAACTACTCCAACATACACTGAAATGATTCTTCCTCCTTTCTTTCCTTTCCTTCCTTCCTTCTTTCCTTTCTTTCTTTCTTTCTTTCCTTCCTTCCTTCCTTCCTTCCTTCCTTCCTTCCTTCCTTCCTTCCTTTTATCGACACCTGCTGTGTGTTGAATATCACCTTTCTGTGGCCACATCTTGACTTGAGCCACGTACTGCTGGCATGCCTGAATCTTCCATCGGATTCAGTTCAGCCTGGTTGCTTGTTTTCTGTTGGGGGTGGGGGTGTTGCCTTTCATTAGCATTGGTTCTCGGCCTCATAGTCTTTGTAATAGCAGTGCTATTTACTTGTTCCCTGCTGCTTCACCTGTACATTTATAAAGCTCTATGGTTTCATTGTCAAAATGCATAGATTATTTCCAGGGGACTTAAGACAGCCAGAGATGAGGATGTCACTGTCCCATGACAGGTTACTTAGGCCACTCTCCATCCTATTCTGCCATGGCAGCAACATCTGCTCTCCTAAACACCATTTCCTCAGTGCACTTGGATAAGTTTAAAATCTGAGTTCTGGAGACTAGTATTTAAAGATTTCGTGTGTCTTTCTTGTGTCTTCTCTCAGGACACTCCATGAAGTTTCCAATTCAGACCTTGAGAAACCGATGCCTTTGGTAAATGGTTTTTCTGATGATCCCTTAAACTAACAGTCTTTAAATTTTAATGAATATGCAATTAAATGTTTCCTTTATTGTTTTCTATTAATTAATTCACACAGTATTTATGTGAATAATTATCAATGCAATTAACTATATATATATATACTAATAACTGAATAACTTCTATTATTTCTCAATAAAACTAAACATTGCATCAGACTCATTGACTAATTTACTTCTTCCAGGAAAAAATAAAGCAGAGTTCCTAGAAATTCTTGACCTTGCCACTTACAGTTCTGTAGAAGTTCCCAGAGCTTACCAAGCAAAGCCACAGATATGCAGCTGAACGTGAGTGGAACGACTGATTAGGAGAACACTGGAAATGTGCAGAAGAGAAACTAGAATCTCATAAGATGCAGAGACCAGAGGCATCAATGTACAAAGAGAAAATGAAATACTCTGTCACTTGTCACCCAGCTCCACAGACTGAGGGAAGGTGTCTCCCTTCTTCAGGGGTAAGAGTCGAATGGGGCAAATTCGAGAAATGCTGTCAATGTGGATGCTAGCAACCCTAGCTACTGATTAGTTACATAATTCTCTGGGGCCTGCATCCTGATGATACAAGCTGGAATTTTCAAAAAGAAGTCCTCCCTTTCCAAACAGCCTTTTATCACCTCCTACAAAGTTCCCAGCATACCAAAGCCAGGAGCTGTCCCAATACAGGACACCTTGTCTCAAGTCAGACTCCTCCAAGGATGGGAAACCTGCATATTCCCATCCTGTGGACCCAATTTACATTCCAATGTGCTAGTAAAATTGGGGGTGCCTCACCAACCAAGCTTGGCACTGAAGCAGAACTTTGACTCAAATTGTCAAGATGCCTCATGCTACAGGGATTAGGTATTGCATCATGGAGGGTAGTGAGAAGGAGGCGCTCTCCTCAAAACACGGAATGTGGAGCTCATCTGCTGGCCAGTCACACAGAGATGCGTGGCAGTGAGGGAAGCATGTGTAGTCCATCCTGAGATACTACCAATCCATTTCACCGTTGCCACACACAGGTGCATGCTGGGAAGACTCTGAGAAACTCCAGCTGTTTGCCATCTTGCAGGCACACAGCCCAAGACTGTCTGATGAGAAACTTTGCTAGTGCTGGCCCTGTATCATGACCTTCTCATGCTGGTGGACACTAGGCCTGAAAGAATCAGAGAAAAAGCTAACCATCATCCTGCCCAGATAAGAGAGGCTCAAGAGGAATTTTTACCATCTCTGACCAGTACCCTTTCAATTTACTGGTAAGAAGACACAGTGTTTGAGGCCCATGACTAGTGCTGCTGGTAATGCCAGAGATCCCAATGAATAAAAAGTCAGCAGTGTCTAAGATACTTTATCACCTGACTAGGGACCGTACTACCATTGTAGATCTAGACACACAGTATAGATTTCACACACAGTGCTGTCCACATCACTCCTGTCTGAACTACTACCATGTTCCCACTCTGTGATGGTCCGCAAAATACACTGCGATATACACTGTACACAAGTTATCAATGATAGGTAAAGAAACAACAGGAGACTGTACTTCGTGCCCAACTGGAAATAACATCAACATTGCCTAATGCACCAATGCCATCAGACATATGGGACTATTTACTCAGATCACTTCTTCAGAAGACCATTAAATGGTAGCAATAGCTCATCTACTTCATGTACAAGTTTGAGCCTAGGAACACAGAAAATATATTTTAATTGGGTCATAGAATATCTCCAAAAGATCAAAACTTTCTAGTAACAGACAGAAAAGAACTTTAGATGGATGAGAAACCTGAAAGAAAATTCAAAGAATGGCTTTTTAAAAGCCATTGAGTAAGATCTAAGTGCCTAAAGATAAACCGTTCACTGAAATTGAGAATAAAATGCAGAAAATAAATGTGAAACCCAACAGAGAAATGCATGTTTTGAAACAGACCCATATAGAAATTGAAAGTTCAATAAATCAAATGAAAAACTCAGTTGAAAGCCTAAGGATATATTAGATCAAACAGAATAAAGAATATCTGAGAGAGAAGATGGGTCTTTTAAAATTTCTTATTCACATAGGGGAAAAAAAAAAAACAAGAAAAGAAAGGATGAAGAAAGCACTCAGTATCTTTGCGACACCATCATTCAGTGATCAAACACAAGAATCATCCAAAGGCGAGAAAAAAGGTTATAGCATAAAGGAAAAAGAGAAATAAATTAGACAAATAACAGCGGAGGGATTCTGCAGTCCTGGGAACTGCACACACATCAGCATGCTGAGAGTCACTGTACCCCAAACAGACCCAACCGGAAAAGACTCTTATCATGACATATGAAACCAAAGCACAGGACAAAGACATCACTGTGAAATCGGTGAGGGTAGTCCTAAGACACACTGAATGATAACTCTATCAGGAAATGATTCTACTGCAAATAGCCTCCAGGCCGGAGTGCATAAAGTGATGTATTCTAACCCCAGAAGGAAAATAACTACCAAGCAAGGCTTCTGTATCCAGACTTGAAGGAGAAATAAAGACCCAAGATTAGTAAAAATGAAACTGATTTCTGACTGTCAGAGCAGGCCTTACAAAATCTACTGAAGAGAAACCTGCATACAGAAATACATGAATGAAAATTATCTTAACAATCTATAAGAGTATCACTGCTGTTCCCAGCAGCTGTGAGACCAAATGGCACTCCAGGACA